ATCCCACATATTAAGTAAATAATTAAATTAATATATTTTATTTAACAATTTAATAAATTATACAGTTAAAAATAATAAATAATTATAAATAATTAAACAATATACATTTTTTATTTTAATTTCAATTTAATAATTATAATTATACATGATATACATTATTAAGGATTTATTTGATCTAGTAAACATATATATTAAGTTTTTGATTGTTAAAAACAAGTTTAACATTTTAAAAAATATTTATATTTGTATTTGATACTTTATTTCAAGGTATATATACATACTTTAATTACAAAATTATTATACATCCTAAAATATCATATCAACAATAGTGTATTATTCATTAATGTTATCAATAACAAATTAATGTTTTTAAATGAAATACACAGCACAAATATAATTGTCACTTAAGTTAGCGTAGCAACTATCAATTTATTGTTTATATAAAATATTGTAGTGTGCTTTCACAATTGTTTATAAAAATTATAATTAATTCTATTTAATATTTGTATTTATTTACATTCAAAACAATATTTTAACATTTTATTTATATAAATACATGTTTTATAATGATCTATCTAAATTAAAATTATTAATTTAATTATGAGCAGCATACTCGATTATTTCCCTATTTGTGCAAACATTGATAGTAATGTTAAAACATCTATTAAACTGCTATATGTGTTTGATGATTACCAAGGTCAAAATATGCTACTTGTTACCATGGACGATTCCGTATACGGGCACGGTATTAATACGTGGGGTCAACTTGGTCTAGGTCATAATAATGAGGTCGATTCACCTCAAATCATACCGGAACTATGTAATAAAAATATACAGCAATTGTATCATGGTGAAGATTTTGTGTTAGCTGTAAATGACAACGGTCAAATGTACAGTATGGGCTACAATTGTTATGGACAATTGTGTAAACCTGATATCAAGGATGTCTTTTTTAAGCCTGATACAATTACTAACTTTGAATCCGAAAATATTATCACTGATATAATAAGTTGCGGTACTAATCACACGTTAGTATTAAGTAACCATGGTCATGTGTACGCTTGGGGTTGGAATGACGATGGTCAAATAGGGTGCGGCAAACAAACTAGCAACAATATTTGCCAACCTGTATTAGTAAAGTTTTTAAATAAAACAATAATTAGCAATATAAGGGCTCACCAAGATGCTTCATTAGCGGTTACATCAACAGAGCTAATTTACATATGGGGTTCGAATTTAAACGAATTTCAACATGATACACCTTACTTATTAACGCGTGTTAGCAACGCGCGAGATGTGTGCTTGATAAATGACTTTTTGTATTTTATAAATAATGATGGTCATTTGTATTCGTACGAATTTCGAATGGATCGTGCAATTATGCTAAATAGCAAAAGGTTTGATAAATTTTATCAAGTTTATTCGAGCGAACATCGTGCACAATTTTCAGCTACCATATGTGATAATAAGATTTATAAGCTTTTACATACATTTAATGTATTGGAAACTAATTATAATTCAATTGACGAGTTCTATGCAAAAGAATGTCAATTGACATTGGTCACTATGTTATTAAGTGAGCACCATGGCCACTTTAAGCTAAATAATTCAATGGATAATGAAGGTAGGTTAAAATTTAAACGTATACGATTACACTAAAATTCATAAAAATTTATATAGCTAACTTAAGCGATGATAATAGTAATCAGCCAAGTACATATAATACATTAAACGTAATCGGATCAGGTGGGTACGGTACAGTATTTAAAATTGAAATACCAAGCACAAAACAACTGTACGCGCTCAAAGTTTGCAACATTGATGGTAATTGCTTCCTAAACATTAATCCAAATATTTTAACAAGGTTAATTTTACTCAAGGTCTAACCGATAAGGAAAAGCAAAGCATTTTAAACGAGACACAAAACTTAATAAAAGTTCGCTCGGAGTTCGTAATACAATACTATTACTCGTGGATCGCCGGCACCGACCTATGCATACAAATGGAGCTATGCTTCGAGAGTTTAAAAAAGTTCCTAGCACATAAACGTAATCTATTCAAACGTAACCTTGGTGACCCAATATCATCATTTGAATTATACATGTCGTACCACGCGTTCGGTCAACTAATTGAATGCGTTAAATACATGCATGATAATAACTTAATTCACCGCGATCTAAAACCGGATAACGTGTTAATCGCCATAAATGATCGTGGATATAGCGAACGATACGTTAAGCTATGCGATTTTGGTGTATCGAAGCATGTGCTTGATAAATGTGATCCGCATAAAATGTCCGTGGTGGAAAATACGTCCGACGTTGCCATTGGCGAATATCAAGCACCGGAGGCTATGGGAAACGATTATAATTATAAAATTGATATTTTCAGCTTGGCCATGATTGGGGCGGATATTTTTGAGTTCGATAAAAAGTGCCTAAAATTAGGCAGGTAATTTTTCAAATATTATTTCGTTAATTAGATTTATTTGTTAATTAGTTTATATTTCTATTTAGATTGTATTCGATTAAAAATGATAATGCAGAATTGAATAATATATTAAGCGATATTTATGGTTTATTGATCATGATGAGTTATAACGAACATTCAACATGCACTGATACTGATTGGCAAAATAGACTTGATTGCTCAGATATAATACAATTTTATAAGCAACTTGAATTTGAACCGATTATATTTATGGTTTATTGATCATGATGAGTTATAACGAACATTCAACATGCACTGATACTGATTGGCAAAATAGACTTGATTGCTCAGATATAATACAGTGTTATAAGCAACTTGAATTTGAACCGATTATTAATAAACAGGATATAAAATTATTTGATAACATAGTCGATACTAATTGTCAGTATTTATATTACATTTATCTACATCGAAAACTCACAAACAACCTTTGTCACATTGATAATGGTAAAATATTGCCTAACTAAATTGATGTTAACTACATATGAATTAAAAATTAATTAATTCTAGGTACCAAAGTTTCATGATTTATCTACATCGAAAACTCACAAACAACCTTTGTCACATTGATAATGGTAAAATATTGCCTAACTAAATTGATGTTAACTACATATGAATTAAAAATTAATTAATTCTAGGTACCAAAGTGTCATGGTCAATGTTCGAAACATTAAATGAAATATACCTTGAAACAATAGATAACTATTTTAATTCCGAATATAGTGATGATAAATCATACGACGAAACCATGTATGCCGTAAAGTTACTTGATACAAACACCTTGTTTACAATTTTAAAAATTGAACTAACAGGTTCATTTACAGAATTATTTAACATAAGTTCATTCATAATTTTAGTTTTTAATTTTCAGACAAATTGTACGAGATGCAAATGTTTTTAAAAAATATTCGCAAGCGATTAAATGTCGAATCGCAATATTTATGTTACTATCGTAGCGTGTGGTTAGAAAATATGTCCTTGTACATTCAAATGGATTATTGCCCGTATACGTTGGAAAAGTTTATCGAAATCAAGCATTCTCTATTTAATGATAATAATACCCCGGCAATGGTTGGCCTTGATTATTTAATTAGTAGCGATATTTTACGTCAACTATTAAATTGCATTCATTATATGCACCAAGCTCATAATATAAATACCGATGA